TTTTTGTACTTTTTAGTAGAGACAGAGTTGTTTTGCCATGTTAGTCAGGATGTCCTCGATCTCCTGACCTCGTGATCTGCCTGCCTCGGCCTCCCAAAGTGATGGAATTACAGGCGTGAGCCGCTGCACCTCACCACAATTACAACTTTCTAATTTTATGTCTTTGTATGGTGGATTCTTAAAAATTAAATTTGATTTGTCCATTTTACTGATTTTGTAAAAAGAAGCAGTTCTTGATTCCATTTATAGATTTCTTTTTTCACAATTAACTAATGTCTGTCATATTTCTTTTATTTCTTTTCTCCTGGTTTCCTTAGGACTAATTTTGTTTTTTAATCATAGCAAATAAATAAACAAATCATACACACGTACACACACATGCATACACACACACACGTGCACACACAATCTGAGGTGAATATCTAGTCTAGAAACTTACTGTGTCATTCCTTTTCTTAAAAGTCGTGCCTTTCTGTCTGATAATCTTATTCAGTAAGACGTATGTATTTTAAAACTGTGCATTCTCATTTTCATTCTATCTAAGTTACCCACCATTGTATATTTTAATTTACCTTTTAATCCTACAGGTTTTTAGACAAATGATTTTCATTTTTATTTATTTTTGAATTTATGAGTGATTTGGGTACTTTCTTTTAAACCCCGGTTATTAATTTGTAGGTTTGTTTGCATTTTGTTTAAAAATATGTTTTGTACAATTTCTACTTTTGGGGAATATATGTTCTGTAGAGGTGAGCCTATGACCAATTTTCTAAATTTTCATGGACACTTAAAATAAGGAAAAAAGCTTCTATATATCTATAAAGTTCTCTTTATTAATTACTTTGATCAAATCTACTATGCTCATATGTATTTTCTGGGTGTTTAATCTTTCTTGGACTGACAGTATTAGTTTAAAATTTTACCATTGCTTTTCTGTTCAGCATTCTTTGGAATTAAAATCATTTTTGCTTTACCACTTTTGATTCAACACACAAAGTTCTAACACAATTATTTTCTTACATTGCATTGGGTTTTGTGTCCATTAAAATGGTCTTACTTG